AACTGTGTCTTCCCTGCGCAGGCCGGTACGATGGTGGCGGTTGGCCTGACCATAGCGGCAGCTGGATTTGCAGGTCTGTAGGTGACGGGAGCGCGCCGAGCACAACCCCCGGTCGTACTGACCATTGCCTGCTTCAGTACTGGTGGGCGTTCGGGTCGTTTGACAGCTGATCCAGGGGACTCCTTTGGGAGAGCCTCTGTGGGGAATCATGGCTGTAATTAGAGAAAAGATCAAAGCTACTACTTCTTTATGTCCTCAAAAACTTATTCCGTGTTCTAATCCACGAATTACCAGTTGCACTGAATTGCTAAATCTGTACGAGACTTGATGCTTAGCCTTGTTCACCGCTGATTTCTTTAAGGTCGCTATGCAGTAAAAGCTATGAAGCAAATGGAGCCACAAGTAAAGCAAGCACTTCAGAATCTACCAAAACCTGTAAGTTTGTATCCGTAGCATCCTTTTAAATAAAAGTTTACTTAGTGAAGCAACTACAGACTGTTGTCTCTGTATAGCATTGCTGTATTTTCTTCTAACACTAAACATAATTTTGTCAGTAATAACAGAATCTCAGCGATTCTGGTGGTGGTTGACTGACAGAGAACTTGTTTTGGAACGTTTAAGTACTCATTTAAATAATGACTGATATTCTACTTTGACAATTTCTTATTATAAGTGCACAAGAAGCTTCGCAATATTCTTACAGACTAAAAGCTCAGCAGATGCTAAAGCAATAATGAGTTGTTTTAACTGATAAACTTGAAAATTAGTGTTTTTTAAACTAACACATTTTCTCTTTCAGGCCTTCAGTGGTTATTACAGAGGAGGATTTGAACCTAAAATGACTAAACGAGAAGCAGCATTAATACTAGGAGTGAGGTAAAAGGAAGTTTATTAGAAATGAAAGGTAAAAAGGCGGCTACGATGTTACCTAGTTGCTGGCCTGGTTTGAAAAGGGCATAATGCTCAATGCGTAAGACGGTCCTACCCCCAGCTTCCCATGGCAGCGTCACTGCTGAGTCAGGAAATATGGAGCGGCCTTTGGGATTTTCTGTATGTATTTGGGATTCTTTGCTGCGTGTTAGCTTGCTTAAAGCTGACTCTAGGTGGCCTTCCATATGCCTGCCAATCCCTGCCACATTCAAGGCCATGCACAAGTGCAGGTAAATGAGCCATTTTCAAGAAGCCTTGGGGTTTACTTGGTGTGGGGGACGCGGTTCTGCTCTTTGCTCGTGGTCGCTGTCACTGCTGGTGAATTTCAGGTAGACGCAGCGTGAAGGTGCTGCAGACCCACTTCTTGCATGTGGAGTAAATTCATCATTTACTCATATCTAAGATATTCTAGAATATGGTAGCTATTCCTGCCAACACTTAAAGAGACTTAAGACTAAGTACATAATTTTATCTAATAAGATACAGCATAAGAATTATTTCTATTTGAAGGCAACTTCCAAGTGAAGTTTCTGTACAGTTTGTTGTTTGCTTTTTGTTTAATTAAATAGATAGAGCAAATTTTGTTTTTTTCCTCCAGCCTTTAGGAAGTTGTCTCAATAAAAACTTTACAACATAGGTCTGTTTGTTTTCAACCATGAGAATGTCCTCCACCACTCTAGACTGCTATAAGCACTTCTTCAGCATGCAGTATCTTGGAAAAAACCTTAGAAAACATCTCTGGGACTTACATGCTGCACATCAATAGTAGGAAAAGAAAAGCAGACCTGTAAGCCAGAGTTTATGGATAAGACAGGGTGCTTGCACATTCCAAGACATCTTTTAAAGATCTGGGGGATTTGATGAGGTTCTCTTAAGTCAGTTTTTCCTCTCTTTTAAAGCCCTACAGCCAACAGAAGTAAAATTAGAGAAGCTCACAGACGGATCATGCTTCTAAATCATCCAGATAAAGGCAAGTAAATTAAGTCACACTGATTAATTAAGACATTTTTAACACAGATTAGTAGAACTGTGTAGGAAAGAAGTGACTGATGTCCGACTACCTCAGCTACTAATAAAATCTCAGAAAATTTTGAGGGAAAACAAATTTTAGGATGCCTTAATCTGTGTTGTTTTGGAGCATATTTTTTTGTGTTTGAAGGCTCTAAAGCAAGCAGACACATTGAGCAGGCCAGCTTGTTGCTTGCTCCGTCTTCTGTGCATATCAGATTAAAATACGATTTGCTAAAATAAGACTCAAAATCGCCTTAATTGTAGATTGAAGACCAGCGTATATTTGCGTGCTTTATGTACTATGTGAGTCTGATTTCATTTGAATGGATTGGGAATTCACCATAACTGGCAGCCATTGAGCCTTCTGCGTCTGTTGAAGACGTTAAACTATGTAATATTTCCATTTGTGGTACTCTGCAGGCTCAGAATCTAATTCTGCTTAAATTTAGTAACTTAAGGCATCTATACCTGTTCTAGATTCTGTTTACTTCTTCAATTCAGAATCACGTGTTAGTGCTTGGCATTTAACTTTCTAATTCTCACTTAAAAGGTAAAATGGCTTACTTTAAAGTGACTGTTGAACTTCATTAGTTTACTTTTATGCACCAAAATCCAAAATAATCCTGGGGCTATGCCTTTCATAGATAGTATCTAGCAGAAGTTAACTCAGTAGTAACTTTACTGAAGCCATGCAGAACCTGAAAGACCACCAGGAGCATTTCACATGCTTTATGTGACCTAAGTAAGTTAAATTAAGCTTCAAGTAAACAGCAATTCTAGTATTAATAAGTGGCATACTTGCTACAAATACACCCTAGAAATCTTTGCACCTCACGGTCAGTTCCAGTGTATTTGCATTATGGGTTCTGTGTCAGGATCTTCGCAAGGCGTTTATATGCCATCTTCACGAGCTGAGCCGGGCCCTTGGTGCAGCAGCAGCTCACATGCTGGCCTTGAACTGCGGGGGGGAGGTTTGTCTGCAGGCTTGTTAAGTTTAACGCTTCTGTATTCACAACACACTGTGCAAAGGCGTTAGTGACCGATTCATTTATGGCTGATAAAACTGGAGAAAAATCCCCTCCAATGAAGTAAAAGCAACCTACCAGGTGTGAGCTGTCTGCACACGGGGCTACTGCAGTGACCAGCTGTGCAAACTGATGTGGCTTCAGCCATAATGCAGTTTGTTCTTTAACCTAAATTAACTTTCAGATTGTACGCTTGCTTTTTTCCCTGTGTACTGTGGCATTATTAACAACACAGAAGGAAAATACTTTTTTTTTTCAGCTGATGTGACGTGAGGTTCTCTTTCTCCTAGGTGGCTCTCCATATATAGCAGCCAAAATCAATGAAGCTAAAGATTTACTGGAAGACCAGGCTAAAAAATGAGTGAGAGCGAAAACTCAGAGGGTTTGTCCATGCACATGATTATTTTTGATAAATGGCTTAAGAAATGTTCCAATGTCGGTCTTTGACTTAAGATAAATGAACCTGGAAACATGAATCCAGGGAGGTACGTCCTTCCCCACTCGCTTCTTGGTCACGTTTTGGAGAAACGTGTGGGAGAACAAGGCTTAAAGGTTTTTTTCATAGCCGTTCTTTATTAAGCAGTAAAATCTGCCACACACAAATATTTTTCCGTGTGAAAGAGTAATAACTTGGTTCGGCCAATACATGTTACCAGATACAGGTTGACTTACATGCTGTTACCTGTTTTTTGTTAAAACTAGCTGTTCTTTGGTATGCCAAAGTTAGCATGAGGAACGAGTTTGGGAAAGGGGGGGGTGCAAAAAATGAAGAGGATCTGTTGGACGGGAAGAATGAGTGGTAGTTTCTGAAGAAATAAAGTATAGGAAACAACACACTCCGTGGTTGTTGCCTTGTGAAAAACAAGGTTGGGTGAGCTGCTGAAGTGTTACTGATGGGTCTGGAGCATCCCAGATGTTTTCAGTAACTTTCAGGTTTTGATGGATTGTATAGCATTTAATAAATTCCAAATTTGCAATATAAGTACTGTAGTTTTATATGTTACCTTACACTACAAAGTTAGAACTCACACAGTAAGGTCTGCATTTTTAGTAATTAGGAAATGGGAACTCTTCGTGTAGCCCATGGGAGATATGGAGCTGTGTTTATCATGCGGCACAAAGCCCAGCAGCCCCCAGTCAGGGCCCAGGAGCTCTGGCATAGCCCAAGAATCTCGCCAGTCTCTCTGCAGCTACAGCTAACACTGCTGTATGGGGGGTGTGAGCTAACACACCTGTCCACACAGAAATACAACGGGCCTCAGCGCTTCCATTTTTCCAGAGCTAACGAGCCTCTGCTTCAGCATGGCCCAAGTAGCACAACATCCGCTGCGTGGCTGCTGCGTAGCTGCACTGCTGTAGGCTAGTCACAGGGCACTTCCTATTACCAGAACAGCAGCGAGGAAGAGTTCCGTGCTTTCAGGAGAGAGGACCGGATCAGTAATGCAAGTATGAAACAGAAAACATTTAGACCTGAGCGAGAGGGATGACATGGCTTTACCGCAGCATTTGAAGAGGGGTGAGAACACCAGCTGGAACGGTGCCATGCAGCAGTTCCAGAGTCTGTGTATTTCAAGCCCTGTGCAGAATGTTACTGTACTTCAGTTTTTCCCTGCCAAATAACGCCAACTTTTTGAACAGCTCTTTTTTTCTTCCCTGTTTTTAAAATTGCCTCCACTCTTGTGGCTGACTGATCAGTTGAGCTGCTTGTGCACACTTCGGAGTTACGACGTGACTGTTCTCCATCAGGGAACGCTGTCGATGAGTGTCAACACTTAACTGCTAATCTCCTTAAGTGAAATACACAGCCAGGCCTCCTTGGTACAGCTCTTCGGGAGCTGTAGCGGGGGTGGCAGCTGGACTTGCAGGTGCTTCGCAATACCTGGTTCTGTCCTTACGTCCAACAAAATCCGGTACAACACAATTTTCTTGTTTGAAGTCAGCACAACTTCAGCACAACTACCCCTTTGCTCTGACTTCTTACAACATCTGCCTGCTACCCAGATGTTTTTCCACACTTATTTTCTGCTTCATTGCTCTTGCTCACACGCCTGAAAAGACAGGTTAGCACGTCATGCTTCTGGCATCTCGACCACAAACTACATATGCCTCAAGTCCTATATATGTTAGTCAGGTCAGGTGATTCTCCAAGATAAGGCATCTGTTTCTAGGCAGATATTTTACATCATCACCTTAAAAGAACAGGAGATGAGCACATTTGAAGGCTCTTACGGAAGAGTTAAAGGTTCAAGCTGCCTTGCAAGTAAGTTTCAATTGGTAGTGTTAACAGCTTGAAAACCTTAACGTCAACAGTAATTTAAATTTCTGATAGAAACAGTCAACAGATGGAAGATCAAAGTTTATTTTCTTTTACTACCAGCATACAAAAAAACATATTGCACATCAAACAACCAAAACAAAAATAAAAATACTCTACTAAGGACTAACATATGTAGTTTATACAGAATAAACTTTCTGGAAATTGATCTTTTCAGTAGTTCAGGTTATGTCTTAATGGACATGACTAATTCAGCTTAGTGTTAACTAAAGCTATGTTTGATTTTTAAATACTGTACAGTTTAATAAATAAACCAAACAAAGCCTCAATGTAGAACAGTCACTGCCAATGTCACCCAGTATCCCTGCAGATTATGAGAATTTAACAAATGTATTCCAGTGGTCTGCAGATTTTTCCTCTACATACAGCATTTAAAAAACATGTATTAAAACAGACCAGTTTCCAGACTAAACTAATGGAGAAATTACATTTCAGTGCAAAATATTTTAGACTGCATTTCTTTCTAGTATTCCTCAGGTGAAGAAGTGGTTGCATATTATTAAAAATGTAACAAAAGCAGCTAATGCTTTCATAAAGAGTATTATGTTAGGGATCCCCCTCACATCTTTGCCGTATTTTGAAAACAAAATAACATTTCCTATAGCCAGCAATTTTGTTTATTTAAATGTTACATATACTATCTCAAGGCACATCTGATGATATATTTATAACACAGTAGGTGTCAAAGTATGTTTAACATATGATTTCTTCAGGATCCCTCCCCTTTCTGTATTCCAAAATGGAGGAACTGAAAGTGCGGTGTCAAGACTGGCGATCCATATTCTATCTTTGGCAAGCTTATACAAGCACTATTTTAAATGTAATGTAAAAGAACTGTAAACTAGGAACTTCAGTTTATGAAACACCATTCAGCACTGCTTCTTCCTGATTCTTCCCCTCCTCCTGAACAGTAACTTTCTTTTCATCAGGACTGTGCTGTAGTTTAGAAGGCTCATCCCCAGAGGCTGCAGCAGGACCATTCACTGCCTTTTCGGAAGGGCTGTTTTCATCAATGGCATCTTTTGCCTTGCAAAAACAAAATCAGGGTAGCATTAAAAATTCCATAAAAACATACCGAGTGTAATCCCCACTCCCCTCTGGCTCACACGACAACTCTGCAATAGGAAACACCTCTTGCCTCAGCCAGCACCCTCTCGCTGATCCTGTCACTTACAAGGTGCTTCTGTATCAGGCACTCCTGAGGAAATCACGCCAAGGGAACCTTCAGACAGCAGACCCAGAATGTTTTGTTTCACAATTTCAATTTTTTCTGAGCCAATGAAGTTAACAGAGATGCTGAGTTTTACACCCCTTTCAAAGTCTACAGGAAGATTAGGTTTTGTTATCATACAGCAATGGATCTTTCTCATTTTCCTGAACTCGGGCATGGCTTGTGGCAGCAACCTCCATGTTACTTCTGAAGAAATTCTGCTTTATTAGGTTCTGAATATTATTTTTTGACATCTCACAATCCTTTAAGGAGAACAGATCTCAGTCTACAATCTTGGTAGCACTCTTTCTAAAGTCGTTTGTATGAGTCACTACATGTGCTACCTCGCACCCTCTACTTACGAAGTGTTTTAAGGATTCCTTCTGAAGACTCATCCATAGATAAATTTTCACATTTTATTATGTAATGCTGTATTAGTAAATGTAATATTTAAACATGCATAAAGACTAAATTTAAGCATTACACTGGTCACTAAAGTCTGCAATGAGAGTCTATGAGTCAGTGTCAGTTCTGATTTCTCTGGACCATTTTTGCTTCTAATGATTTATTCTTGAACTCAAATGCACTGGTAGTCAAGTGAGAGAGATGTGCACGAAGCATTCCTTTACTGTTTTGCTGCAAGGGAAGAGAAAAAAAGCAAAGACACATTAAAAAAAATCCTCTTACCGTTTCTTTCTTGGTTTTGGCTAGTGTCTCCTTTGGAGGGTTTCTCTGTCTACTTTGAGATTCAGCTCGTGATATATAATCAGCTACTGTTACTGTTCAAGGAAAAAAATGACAGTGATGCTCACATCGGAAGTCTAATGCAGCTTTAAGCTTCACATGTCTTTTCTGTGCAAGTTACCCTACAACTAGGAGACAGCTCGCAAAAGGCCTTCACACTTACAGGTATCAACTACAGAGCAAGCATCAATTTGTGTCTGTTGGTAAACAAAATTTTCACTAAAACTGGTGGTAATGAGATGATCTGAAGGTGGAATCTGAATGTTAATAAAATAGTAATTTTGGTCCAACTGTAAATTTTATTGGAAAGTAAGGGCTTTCTGTACTGGATTGGAAGAGATCAGACTGCAGGCTCTTTAAACTACAGACTGTGTTGGTCACTGGGTTTTCACTAATCTCGAGCAGTGAGGAAGTTCACACTAACAAAATGAAGATAAGCTGAAATATGAGGAGAACTGGGGGAGGTTCAGAGTACGGTATCACTTACGATAAAGCTGCATTCAGATCTTTGTTACTCCGTGAAGCGACTGGCAAGAGCACTGGCCCTCCTCCTGGGACTCGGCACGCGATCCACCGCGCGAGCTCGGGCTGGAGGCTGGGGCAGTGACTGTGCTGTGGGCACAGGCCCTTGTGAGCCAGCCCGTGCTCAGAAGCCAGGCAGCCACGGCTGCGCCCTTACGGCGACACTCACTGGATGCTGGCCAGGGCTTTTCTGACCTCTCCTCCTTACCCCCTCAGCACATGTTCATGGAGCCTAGTTTTGTCTCATCCCGCCCTCTCATAACCACACCAGCTGAGGGTCATTTCTATACACAGTACTACAAATTTAAATACACATTTGTATCTTTGATGAGCTAAAGCACATTCAAGTTGGCAAGCATTATGTACTGAAGAGTACAGTCAGTTATATTTAGTATATCATGCATGCAGGTGAACTATTTTTTGGGATTTAGAAACGATTGTGCATGAAATCTGAAGCAGAAGAGGAAGTACAGCACAGGAATTTGCTGTTGCAGTAACTGGACTTCTTACAGCTGGGTGCCTGCGTAATTGTCCAGACCAAGGAAGTTTC